ATGTCTCTCATGCTGCCTGTAAACTTTTCATCATCTGAACCATGAGTGTTCAGATTAAACATGGAAACAGGGGGGACTGCCACATCCCCAACTCCCGAATGATTTGGACCACCTCAGCATACATTTGCCATTTACTAACAATCTTGGGCAGTTCTCCAGCATTTGCCCACATGGTTCAGGCAGCTGCATTCATCCAGTCCATCAAGGAGTGATTACCTCATCCTTGTGCATATCTGCGGCTTTCTGCAGCCACTGCCTCAGGGATGGGTGCATGGTAATGGAGGCCAACTTCTCCACCTTCTCCCCAGAGCATACTACACTATCCACCCCTAGGTCCCATAACCACAACAGCCAAACAGCCAGGGTCTCCCTATGTTTCTGCCTGAACTGTCTTCCCAAGTCAACTAGTTCAACCTGGGTATACGGGACATAGGTGGTGAACTGGGTCGCCTGTGGACCACCCACTGGTTGTCCGTCTGGTCCCATAGGCTGCTCATGCTTCATTTTCTTGTGCACAATAGGTAGTGCCTGGAGATGCATGGTTTCCCCCAACTCACCACTGGGTTGGTCGTCTTCCCTGGTGTGAGAGGCAGGAATGGCCAGTTGCTGCACGTCATCCTCCAGGACACTTATCCGCACTTCCAAAAACTCTGCTTTCTGCCGCAAGTCTTGATTAGTTTGCAGCATTGTGAGCAGTAGCCAGGTTCTGGTCAGCAGAAAAGTGGCCACCAGGCACCACGGGCTCAAGGACAGCCACATTTCTTCCCCCTCCCAAGGTGTTTTGCATTGTAGTACCTGGTCTATGCTGCCTTGAAGTACAGTGTGCAGCAACCAGATCCCAGTCAACAGGAATGTGGCCATAGGGCAGAGCATACTCAGAAGTAGCCACATTTTCTCCTTCTTCCAAGGGCTTTTGGCTCCTGTACCTGCTCAGGATCCTGCCGACTATGCCAGTTGTGAAGCTCTTTTACTTTCCTGTAATCCTGCCAACTGGGCCAACTGTTGAGCTAGGGCTGAGCCTGGAGCTCACAGACCCCTTGAGCCCATTCTCCAGACTGGGTCACAAACCCTTCACACACGAGGCTGGGTCCCCAGACCCCTCACATGCAGGTCTATGAACTAGGTAACTGGCCAAAAGGTCCTTGGAAGCCATAGGTTGGAGAGCATGGCCGAGTGTGGCAGACGCCCGAGGCAGTCACCAGCCAAGCCACGGCACTGCACATGTGCACTAACTCCACCCACAAACACACAATTTGCTTACAAAGAATGAGCTGCATCACCCCCAACCATCCATAAGGTGAGGGAGCCTGATTAAATTATTCTATTTTCCCAACAGCTACGTTCAAATTTGGATTTTATTTGGAATTCTCAGGATTCTGTACCAGCACATGGTGGTGTGGGGAGAGGCAGTTTTCAGGAGGTGGGCCCGCTTCTCTTCCCACCCTGACCCCATCTTGGACTGTGTGAGGCCTTGGGTATAAGCATGTAGCCATCCCATCTGCCATCCCAAATCTATCTGCAGCTTCCTGCAAGCAGCCACATGTTGGCCACACTTTGGACCTGGGGATGTGTGTACCAGTAGTGAAGTCCAGCCATGGGAGGGCAAACCTAGGGAAGAGGTCCATGTGGGCCCTAGAAGTAGGCTTGGGCCCTTTGGGCAGGGAATTCCTAGATACCTGGAGGGCGGTCCTGAGGGATTGGAATATAGATGAAGAAGGGTTGGATTTCTCACCTCATGGGGTAGGACACAGCCAGAGGAGGGCCAGAATGGAACCTCCTAAAGCACAGGGCCCAGGGCAGGGGCCACTCTTGCCTGGGCCTAAGGGCAATGATTTGATGTTTTTCTGTTTCATCAGTTTTGTAGGCTCCATGAAAACAGGGCCAGTGTCAGTCTAAGTTACTGAGGTATCCCTATGCCTAGTGCCTGGTGCAGAATAGGTGTTTATTTATTTATTTTCAGAATAGGTGTTTAATAAATATTTGTCAAATGAATGTAGAAGGTACACTAGGAAGAGGTTTGAGGATTTGTATCTATACTGAAGATCTAGATTCCAAGAGGGAGAACTAGGAACAAGAACAGCTCTTGCAGGGTTCCAAAAATGGGGCTCAGGACAGAGGAGGTAGGGGTGCATCCTGGAATGCTGAATCTGTCTCATCTCTTCCCCTTCCTCTTCATTTCCTATCCTACTCCTCCAAGCCCTTTGCCTGTCTGGCCCTCCTTCCCCATGGTCTGCATCCCTCTGCCCATATCTTTTTGCCATTGCTCTTCTTCTGTGGCCTGTCTTTTCCCCTGTTGTTGTTTTTAGTTCTTGGTCCCAATCTTACTCCCCTGTGTCCCTTTCTTCTGCCACTTTGGCTCTTCTAGTCCCTTACCCCTACCCACCTCTCCTGTTGTCCCTCATTCCCTTCTTGGTCCCCTCCTGGAAGCCTGTGTCTCATCCTTTTAGTTCCCCGTGGCCCTTCGCTCATCTCTTCCATGTGCCTGCACCTCTCTGTTTCCGTGCGGAGCTGCTGATATGTTCTGCCCTCTACCCCAGGTCCTCACCCGCTGCCTCCTTTGTCTTCCTGCCTCCCTTCCTCTGTGCTGTCGTTCTTGGAGTCCACCCTGACGTCATCTTTTCACCCCTGTTTCCCTGTCCCCAGATGTCCTTGAGCCAGTCAGTCTCAGTATCCCTTTCCCAGCCTCCTATTGCCCCTCTGCCTTCTGAGTCCCCTCATGCTGCTGCAGGCTATAGCAGGCTACAGGAACTTCTCCTCTCTGTGCCCTTGGTCCTTTCCTCTGGCCCAGCCTGAGCTCAGCCCTCACTCCCTGGACTCCTTTCCCTGGTTAGAGGTGCCTGGTCTGAGCCCTGAGCGGCTCAACTTACCTGAGCTTGTTTAGTCTGACTTCCTTAACTCATTAGCAGCTTAGCCCTCCCACCTCTCCTCTGAGCCCTCCAGTAAACAAGAGGATCAGTGCAGAACTGACAGCTGCTGGGTGGGGGTAAATGTCTGGCAAGGCCAGAGCAGGCATGAGAAAGGGGCTGGATGCAACATTTCCTTCTTCATCCAAGGACATTCTACGGTCTCTTTCCTGTGTGTCCACCATAGAGCTACATTCCATGGGCATGTGTTTGGGGTTCTCTGTCTCCATGATCCCCATTCCCATTTTGTGGCTGGTTTCTAGGCCTTGGCTTTTGGTTTTTCTGAGAAAACAGCAGTAGATCCAAGCAATCACACAGATAAGGCTTTCTACTAGAATGACAACTATGGGCTCTGCTCGATAAACATATGACCAGGTGTGGGAAGAGAGTGATGTTGTCTGACCTAGGTCTTCTAATCTGTGTGTGGAGAGAGTATGGTTGGAGACAACACGCACACTCACACCCCAGGGGAAGATGGGTTGACTGTAGGCATTCTGGAGACACTTATAAGCTTCAGGGCCTTGGAAGGTGGGGGTGTTGGGAACTTGTCTGGCCCTCTTTCCCAGTCCCAGGTTTTCAAACTTTAGTGTACACCAGAAATGCCTGGAGGGCTTGTTAAAATACAGATATCTGGGCCCCATTTCCAGAGTTTCTGATTCAGTAGGTTTGAGGGGAGACCAGAGAATCCGTATTTCTAACAACTTCTTAGGTGCTGCTGCTGCTGCTGCCAGTCTGGGCACCACATGTGAGAACCACTGTCTTGGATAATCTGCATTTACCATCTCTTCCCCAACACCTAAGGCTGGGACCAGGCTAAATTTTTATTACTGATGACCCCTGGGGCTGACAAACACACCGGTCTCTCTCTGGGTTGGGAAAGAGGATGTATTAACCCCATGGGAGTGTTTGGGTGTCCTCAGAAGTAGAAAAAACTTTAATTCCTGGAGTTCTATTCTAGTGCAGACCCTATTTAAACAGCTTCGGACAGGTTTAAACATCTCCTTGGCTAATTCCTAGTATCCCTCTTCCAACTCCTACTTGGGGATGATAGCTCTAAGAGGTGTTAGGGGATTAGGCTGAAAATGTAGGTCACCCCCCAGCCATCTGGGAACCAGAATGAGTGAAAGAAGAGGAGAGAGGGCAGAGACAGGGAAAATGTGAGAGGAAGCAAGGGCAGGTGAGGGCAGATACAAAAGTGTCTCCAGTGGTCTCGTGGTGATGAGATTTCAGTGTTCTTTGGTAGTCCTGAAGGAAGGACTAGGGTTCCCTGGTCTCTCTTCTCTTTCAGCTGCCTGTTGTGGGGCTGGGTCAGCAAGAGTGGATATGTCTGAGGATCGGATGGCTAAGTCCTGGAGCTTCCCCTGGAGAAAATTGCTTTTCTTTTTCTTTTTTTTCTTTTAAAAGGTGACCGGTAAGGGAATCTTAACCTTTGACTTGGTGTTGTCAGCACCACGCTCTCCCAAGTGAGCTAACCGGCCATCCCTATATAGGGATCCGAACCTGTGGCTTTGGTGTTATCAGCACCACACTCTCCCAAGTGAGCCACAGGCCAGCCCAAAATTGCTTTTCTTTTTGATGCAGTGGCTATCAGGGGCATAAGGCCAGTATGGGTGAAGGTGGGGCAGGGGGCAGAAATGTGAAGATTCTTGAAAGCAGGAAACAGACCCAACAGGCCAGGTGAGAGTGGGTTTAGGAGAGCTTGTACTTCCTGAAGACACTGATAAGAGGCTGAAGGGCCTGGGAAGTGGAGGCGCTGGGAGCTTGTCTGGCTTTCTTTCCCAGTTCCAGGTTTTGGGGAACTAAGGGCTGAGGGTTGTGTTCACATGGAGGGAGGTTGGTTGGGCCCAACATGGCTTTCTGTACTGGAAACCTAGCACACGTGAGTTGAACAGTCATTGAGGAGCTTTGTTGGGGAAGACACCTCTTTCCTTCTTTGAGAATGGGCATACTGTCTTCTCCTCTCCTCTCCAGTCCCCAACCCCCAGGCCAATGAGATAATGCAAATGATCCCCTTACTTCATTGGCTGGAGGCCTGAGGACCACAGATGACCTCAGAGAGCTGGCCCTTTAAGAAATGCCCTTTGGGCTCTGTGCCCACAGCCCCCTTGTTCTGAGCACAGAGGCACCAGGCCCTGCTCCATGGGGCCTCTAGTCTCAGGGGAAGCTGTGCCTGTGTGGCTCTGACACTGATCACATCATCTCTGCCATTCCCAAAGTGAGTATATCCTGGGCTTACCTGGGTGCCAGGCCTCTCACCTAGAGACCCCTCCTATCACCTGCTGTCTGCTGTCATCTGTTTTCAGGAATCTTCACACTTCTGTACCCTGCCCCACTCCCACTCTGACTGCCTTGCATCCCTCACTGCTGTCATGTCAGAAAGAAAAACAACCCTCCCCACTTACTTCTTTTCTGTACATCCAATTCTCTCAGGACACTTCCCTCAGTGTCTCACCATTTCCTTCTGCCAAGGACCAGTTCCTTCAGTCTGTGTCTTTGTTTCCATCCCCTCTGTCCTCTCAAGTGTGAGGGGCTCCACAGAGAGGGCAGCAACCCTTCCCTGGGACAGGAAGAGAGAGGCCTTGTCCTTCCTCCCACCCCTCCGGGCAGAGCCTGGGGGACTGAGACGTTGTTGGAAAGAGGGCCACCTCAGCTGAGGCATCAAGATGGAACCAAAGTCTAAGCCCTGGAGATGAGCATTGCCTGCTTCACCCCCTCTGGGTTTGGGGGTAGGGCTGTTGGAATTGGGAGCTGGGCTACAGCTAGGTGCTTCCAGGCTGGGAAGGATCTCTGAGGTCACCTAGCCAGAGATTCCTCAGGTGAACACACGCTCTTTGGTTGATAACAGAGACTAGACTTCCTTGGTGACGATGTCACCAAGTTTGGGACACTCCGTGTTGCAGCTGAACAGATGGTTTACTGACGGTCTTCTCGGGTTAATATGTTCTTGTGCTTTGCAAGAGGTGGGGATACGAGGCAGCATTTCTCAAAATTATCTCAGCACCTACCTCTTCTTGGGTATTTCTCAGTATTAGTGTTCTGCAGAACACTCTTGGGGAAATGTTATAAAGTCTAACTGCCCGCACTGAACAGAAGGGGAAAGCAGTCAGAAAGGTGAAGGTGATCTGTCAAGTTCATACAACATAGCGGGTTCTGAATAAGCCAGTCTTGGTTGGTTCCCCTTAGAGAGACTGGCCTTGAGGAAAGATGGTGGCCGCTCAGTCCTGATCTTTCTAGAACTAGTTCTAGGACCTTTTTTCCTTAGAAGGTCTCATGCTCCTTTAAAAGAAATTAATCAATTGATTAATCCATAGAACAAATGTGCATTGAAGGTCTTCTATGTGCAGGGCACTATTCTGAGTGCTTTGATAGAGAGGTATAACAGCACGTTATCCTTATATCTTAAAATTCATAGCACACTTGCTTTCCCACTGTCCTAAAACATATACATACTCTTGTCGCAGTTAATTAAGCAAATTTAAAAACTGCTTGAAAATGGAATGATGCCTGTTGAGATGTCAGAGCTTGTCAGTGTGTCCCAGCACTAGGGTGGGGAGCTCTCCCATATTGCTCTTGTTTTTCATAGATTCTAGAAGCACCAGAGGGGTGACAGGCTGTGCCGTCCTTCTCTCCCTTCAGATCTTCAGCTGCTTGTCCCCTGTTAGGAGCCCCTGCCAACTTAAAGATTGACCCCTAGCCTGGAGATGACTCTGCGGGGGACAAGCCTACACCACTTTAGCTTTCCGGAACTCTGGCTCCAGGGCTTTGGGGGAAGAGGGATTTGGTGAAGGGGGACGGCAGACAGCCTCCGTGTGCTCCGGACCTCTCTTTTTCTTGCAGGTGCACCCCTTCCCAGCCAGCCCCAGAATGGCACTGCCTCCTAGTCCCCTGGCCATGGAATATGTCAATGACTTTGACTTGATGAAGTTTGAGGTAAAGCGGGAGCCCTCTGAGGGCCGATCTGGCCTCCCCACAGCCTCATTGGGCTCCACACCCTACAGCTCAGTGCCTCCTTCACCTACCTTCAGTGAGCCAGGCATGGTGGGGGCCACCGAGGGCCCCCGGGCAGGCCTGGAGGAGCTATACTGGCTGGCCACCCTGCAGCAGCAGCTGGGGGCTGGGGAGGCGCTGGGGCTGAGTCCCGAAGAGACTGTGGAGCTGCTACAGGGTCAGGGCCCAGGCTCTGTTGAGGGGCCCCACGCTTACTACCCAGGGAGCCCAGAGGAGCCAGGAACCCAGCATGCCCAGGTGAGTGAACAGCAAGCTGGGTGAAGACAGCCCAAGAGAGGAAGGAGAGTTCCTAGAGAGGGTTAGGGACTGTGTAAAGAGAAGGCAGGAAAAGGGAAGAAGGGCCCTGGAAAGAAATCAGCTTGAGAAAACTATATTCAGCTCCTCTCCCTTTCTCGAAATGGAGAGAAACCATAGGGTGACCGGGAGGAACAGGAAGAAGATAAGATTAGAAGAGGACCCAAAGGGGCAGGGCTGAGAATTAAAAAGCGTCAGGGAGCAGGCGACTACGGGGAGGCAAATAGACACTCTGTGTGTGGAACCAGGGCAAGGGTTGTGTGCGGAGTGGAGCAGGGTTAAGGCTGTGGTTGAGCCTAGCCTTTTCAAGACTTCGTGCTTCCCCCGCCCCCAACCTTCTCAGGAAGGATTAGGACTCATCCTATTAATTATGGACACAGATGGGGGTGTCGAGGGCACTAGGATGTAATCCAAATCCTCTGAGGGTCACAGGGTTGCGGCCTTAAGGACAGGGAAACGTGGCGCGTTGGAGGGGCGGGGTCGTTGTGGGAGCGTCCACCAGACGCACCCGGACCTGGAACCGGATGCTGAGGACCACGGACGGGGTACGGGGTTCAGGTGCGCTATTGGCTCCCCTGAGCGTGGGAGGCGGGGCCTGCACCGCGGGCGGCCTGAAGGGCGCGAGCACGTCTGGGCTGGAGGCGGGGTCTGCGCTGAGATCCTGTAGAAGGGCGACCGCGGTGAAGGCGGGAGCCGGGGGCGGAGCTTTCCCGGGGCGGGGCCAGACTGGCGTCGGGTCCTGGGTGGAGCCGGGTGGGACCCGGCGCTGAATCTGCTCCTCCTTGGTCCCTCCTCAGCTGGCCGAGCGGTTTTCGGACGCGGCTCTGGTTTCGATGTCTGTGCGGGAGCTGAACCGGCAGCTGCGGGGCTGCGGGCGCGACGAGGCGCTGCGGCTGAAGCAGCGGCGCCGCACGCTGAAGAACCGCGGTTACGCGCAGGCCTGTCGCTCCAAGAGGCTACAGCAGCGGCGCGGGCTGGAGGCCGAGCGCGCTCGCCTGGCTGCCCAGCTGGACGCCCTGCGAGCCGAGGTGGCCCGCCTGGCCCGGGAGCGCGACCTCTACAAGGCTCGCTGTGACCGGCTGACCTCGAGCGGTCCCGGGTCCGGGGACCACGCCCACCTCTTCCTCTGAGACGCTCGTAGCCGCGGGGTAGTGGAGTAGGTGGGTGGGTGGGGGACACCACACAGGAGGCGGCTGCACCTTTCACTGATCGTTACCCAGCGCCTTCTGGTCCCATCCATTCCCTGTATGACCATACAAGTTTCCCCAAACTTCCTGGACCCTCAAAGCATGTCCGAGTTTAGATGCTGGTCATTTTCTGGAGAGGGGTCCCCTCCCCTCGCGGAGGCCACGCATGGAAACTCGACCCCCGTGACTAGCACACAGAGCTCTGCAGGGGCCAGCGCTAGGCACTGGGTGGTGGAGGCGTGGATGATAGCTGGGTGACACAGTGAATGGGAGGTGAGGGAGTGGTGCAGCTCCCCCCTCAGTTTGGTTTTTAATTCAAGGTTTTCAACTTGTAGTGCATTAAGGCTGTAATTAGCAATGACGCTGTATTTTCATTCTGAGGCTTGTAATCTCCCCATTTTAGGACTACTGCATTTTCAAGATTTCAATTCCCAATGGCAAAAATTTCGTTCCCAACAGACTGGGAACGCTATCCAAGATGGTTTTTCCCTGCCCAACCCAGTGTCCTTCAGGGCCCAGAGCAGCAAAGGCCTGAGGAGTGAGCCCTGGATAGGAGTTGGAAAGATCTGGGTGCTAGTCCCAGCTCTGCCATAGGATCCCTCTGTCAACTTGAGCAAATCGATTGCTCCCAGGCCTTCAGTCACTTCAGCTGATCCTCATTTGGATTGGATGACTTTTGACACCTTTCCAGTTCTGGCATCTCCACAGTGTGGCAGTCCTAATGTTCTGCCCAAGAAGCCCCCAAGATAACCTCACCAGAGGGACCTCCTCTCCTGCTCCAGCTTCCTGGCTGTAGCTTAGGCAGTGGATGAGCAGCCCGGGTTAGGAAGCATGGCTTCTCTGTGAGCGCATGCAGTGGTCCTCTGCTGCTTCCTCCAGGCTTCTTCAGCCTCCAGACCTGCATAGGGTGTTTAGGCAGTGGATGAGCAGCCCGGGTTAGGAAGCATGGCTTCTCTGTGAGTGCATGCAGTGGTCCTCTGCTGCTTCCTCCAGGCTTCTTCAGCCTCCAGACCTGCATAGGGTGCCTCTGCCACCTCCTGCCTCTCTGAGGGCTGAGGTGAGACTTTTCCTAGGATGATAAGGAGCTGAGAGAGTGCAGCTTTTGAGAATTAAACTTGAAGTCCAGGTGAAACTCCAATTCTATTGGCTAAAGCTAATTGCAATTTAAGAAGTGTCCATTCTTTATCCCTACTTCAGGATACTGTTTTATGTTTCTGTGTGTGGGAGAGAGAGAAACTGGAAAGTCTTCACCTGGAGCTGAGTGGCACATCTCAGTTCTGGAAGGCCAATGAAAATGGGGTAGAGGGGCGGGCATTCAGCCAGATAGAACCTCTCCCCACCCCCACCACCACAAAGCTCAGGAGCAGCTGTGGCCTGACTAGACCTGCCTGTGGCTAGCGAGATCTCACAGTTGCCATGGTAACCCAATCTTTCAGTTCAGCAGCTTAAGGGGATGGCAGTGGGGACTCTGGGCAGAGTAGAGGCATTGAATTGGGAGCAGCCACCGCACCAGTCACTGTCATCTGTCCTCTAAGGGACATAATAAATGGGAGAAGCAGTCGGGCATGGGCAAAGAGGCTCCCATATGTCTCTCTTCCTTTCTGCCCCCTCTGTCCACCCCCTTCCCAGCTGTCTTTTCTTTTCCCATACACTTCTTGTTCCCTCCTCCAGCCCAGCACATCCCTCCTCCACTCAGGAGCCTGCAATGGGAATTTCTTTCTTCATCCCCCTTGGAATTTCTCTCTTCTCTCCCTTTCCCATCATTGGCCACTGGCCATACTCCTTGGCTCGGGATCTTCTCTCTAAGGGGCTCATGGTCTTTTAGCTTCTCCTCCTTCATCCCCTTCCATGCTCATTGTTGAAGGAAGGGGCCCGGGCAGGGAGGGTCTCACCAGGAGCCAAGCTCTTCTTCCCTTGCTCTGAATTTCACCTGTATCCTCACCTCTTCTCTGGAACTGCGGTCCAGACCCACTACTCTTCTTGCTCATCTTTCTTATCTGCATGGCACACAAGGGCAGAGACACCTATCCACAGACACCTGTGTACACATCTAGGCCACATATACATACACCTGGGCCACATGGATATACCTCAAACAAAAGTTGCACTGTAGTGATTAAAGAGTGTGGGTGCTTTAGTCAGATGGGCCTGGGCTCAAGTTCAAATTCTACGAGTTCTTCTTTGACCATGGATGAGTTAAAATCAAGCCCCACTAGCTTTGTCAGAAAAATGGGAAAAATCATGGTAACTACCTAGTGAGAATAAATGCATTTAAAGAAGCACTTAGCACAAAGTTTGACACATGCTAAATAATCTTTGCTGTTGTTGCCAATGTTTTCATTAAGAGTACACAGCTGGGGGCTGGCCCCTGGCTCACTTGGGAGAGTGTGGTGCTGCTAACACCAAAGCCATGGGTTTGGATCCCTATATAGGGATGGCCGGTTAGCTCACTTGGGAGAGCATGATGTTGACAACACCAAGTCAAGGGTTAAGATCCCCATACCGGTCATCTTTTTTTTAAAAAAAGGAGTACACAGCTGGACTTCTTGAACCATTAAGGCCACACTCAGTCAGGGATGTGTACACACCCAGGAAAACTAGGCTATACAGGCCCAAGATGCCCCCCTATGTTCCCAATTCACAAGCAGACCTGCCACCCTCCTTCCGTCCCCTGACCACCCCTCTTGGATTGCCCCACAGCTGTGTGGGGGCAGAGGTTCAGCCCCCGGGGGACTCAGCGGGGACTCTCTGAAGACAGCTGTGAGAGGGCATCAGCCTGCCCCCTTGACAGCCACTTATTATCCCCCTATTTCCTACAATTAAGCCCCATGGTGCCTGGACCCCCTGGGGTTGGGAGGTGAGAGTAGGGGCTCTCAGACCCCACTGGCACATAGTTGGGGTAAGACTGCAGAGACAGCAGCCTGCCCAGGGAGCTCTGGCTTGGATTTGGGAAGGTGCTGGTCCTTATTTCTCATGGTGTGCGTGTGCGAGTGCTCTGGCCTGCCCAATGGGCATGTAAGGCATGATGAGTAGAGGCAGAGATGCTGAATGGTTCCCTTTATTAACTGCCAGAAAGTCAGGATCACTGAAGGAAGTCACTGAGGGGCCACAAGGTTGAGGGGTGTGGGGCTTGGAGAGATGGGCAGGGCCCACCACTCACTTCTAGGACCCAGGGGCACAGCTGGTCCAAGAGGCAGAGGCACTGGTCACTCGAGTCACAAGGGTCAGGACAGGCACCTGGCAGGGGGTGGGATAGCCATAGCATCCTCCTCTACACTACACCCAGCCAAGATGGGCTCCACCAAGCCCCACTTTGCACCCCAAGTACCCACCCCTTTGGGCCCCCAGGACTCACTGAGAGGCTAAGGGAGTGTTGGTCCGGTGGGTGGCCGTCAAGGGCTAGGGCTGGGAGTCATGGCCGGTGTACAGGGCCTGGGAGCCCCTGGGCTGATGCCCTGGCTGGCATAGTACTCCACCACCTGCCGGGGCACCTCGGCCAGGACGCACTTAGCTAGCGCAGAGGGGGCGGCCTGGGGGGGGGTGGAGACGTGGTTAGTGGCAGGAGAGTGGGGTAGGCTGGGTCTGGTGAGGGAGGGGCAGGGCTTGGGGGTGGCTATCTGGGCTCTAGCATCCTTTGCAGGACGTCAAGCGCGTGGGAGGGACAGGTCAGATTTGGGGGTATAGATTTGGGGGCATGAGGAGCTGAGGAGTCTTTCGGCTGGGGGAGTGGGGCAGCCACCAGGGACTCACATCCTTGAAGTCTCGGAAGGGCACGAACTGGACGATATCGCGGGCCGCGGGCACTCCTTGGGGGCAGCGCAAGGGACCATCATCGCCGTCCAGTAGCCGCATGTCGGAGAAGTCGGCATTGCCCACGCCCACAATGATGATGGACATGGGCAGGCGGGAGGCACGCACGATGGCAGCGCGGGTCTCAGCCATGTCGCTCACCACACCGTCAGTGAGCACCAGCAGTACCGAGTACTTCTGAGGGCAGGCAGAGGTGGAGGAAACGTCAGCTGTATGTGCAAGGGCGTTGATATGCATCCCAAGCCCAGGCCATGGCCCCTGCACCACTCAAGGACACATGAGGAAGTGCCTAGTTGCCTGCTGTGTCTCACCGTGGCTTGGCCAGTGCTCTGCTCCCGCTGGGCAGGCCCAGCTACGCGGTTGATGATGGGGGCCACGTTGGTGGGTCCATAGAGCTGGATCTGGGGCAGGCAACGACGGTAGGCAGTGATGACCCCTGAGATCTCTGTGGGCAAAGAAAAGAGGTGCAGCTGGCAGAGATTAGCAGGGAGCCCTCCCTGACATTCCATAAAGCAATGAGGTGCTTTCAGGCCTTAGGACTGCCTGGCCTCCCAGGTTCCTCACTAAGTGGAGGAAGAGTTGGATGGTCCTGGGCTGGGAGAGTTGGGTGGGCAGTTGCGGGGCTACAGGGCTGAAAGTCTTAGCAAATGAAGACAGGACTTGGATGGGTGGAAGGGATAGGGAGCTGGGCCCATGGGAATGAAGCCTGTGTTCCCGTATGGGTGTACAGGCATGTGCATCAAGCTAGTGCATGGGGGAGGTGGGGCTGGTGGGAATCTCCCCTCTTACCTTCACATTCAGGGTTTTCCGGGTCAAAGTTGATAGCAAAGTCATGGGACACCTGTGAGGTAAGGTGAGTGCAGTGAGGGGTTGTCTTTTCTTCCTGTCTGACTCTCCCACCATCTGCTCCCTTCCTCGCACGCAGCCTACCTCGAAGTTGGGGGGGATTCGAGCCCCAAAGCCAAAAGCTGGGAACCGCTTATCACTGGGAAGAAGAAAATGCTGTGGGGCCCCATCGGGCAAGGCCTCCCTACCTGCCCGCCCCCCTACTTCCTACCTGTCATAGTCTTGGCAGATGCCTCCCACTGCACGCAGGGCCTGCAGGTAGTGGTTGGGCTGTCGGGGGCTGAGGCAGTGTAGGGACTGGCTGCCCCTTGGGTCCCCATTGGAGGCGGTGAAGTCAATGGCCACCTGGTGGGGGTGGGGAAAGGCTCATACTGCAGGCATGTGCATCAACAAACAGGCTAGGCCAGAGCTAGGGTCTGTAGGGAGGACTAAGACGAGTTGCAGGAAGCCCACAGGTAGCCTCATCGTGGGATGGGGTTTGGGGTACAAGCCGATGCTCATGAGAAGCCCAAATAGGGGCAGTGGGAATTCTGGGCTCCTGTTCACTATGGACTTAGCCCCTCCCTCTTGCCTGTGCCCTCATCCCCTGGGCCTTTACCGTGAAGCTGATCTGGCAGCCACCCATGATGTAATCCAGGAAGGTGTGTATCTTCTCCACCTGGTGGGAGTGGGAGAGATATAGTTAGCGGATGGGATGGGTTTTTGAGGAGGGAGCATGGGTAGGGCTCCTATGGGGAAAGTGGGGAGGGGCCAGAGTTTTTGAGGTTGTAGTTGGGGGTGGGATAGGGTAAGGGTTCTTAGTTCCCAGAAACAGAGAAAGTGGTCTTTGACACAAGCAAAGGGTTGAATTTCAGACTGTGGTAGGGGCAGGGGCTGGGGCAGGGCTTAAGGCAGAAATGGGGATTTACCGTGCACTGGGCCAGTACTACTGTCCCTGAGCTCTTGTAATTCTTCTTCTTGTCCCGGTACTTGGGATTGATACAATCCCACTGCATCTAGGCCCCACAAGCTCAGGGTCACAAGTCCATCACGTGACCCCTTTCCCCCTTCTAGCAGAGCCTCCCAAAACAAGAACCCCATGGCTCGGTCCTTTAGCTGAGCCTGGTGCTTTCCACCCTCTCCACCTCCTACCACCTACAGTGGTCTCTTCGGTGTCACCCTCAGCATTCTCCCAGGGATCTGGGTGGGATTCTGGGGGTGGGGTGGGGTCTTTGTGGCACCTCCTGCCCAGGGTTTGCCGTCCCTTCCTGCATCTCCTGGAAGGTGCTGGTGAACTCGCCAATGAAGTCATGCTTCCCGCTGGAGTCATAGTCATACACAAGGAACTGAGAAGGCAGGAGGAAGGGTGGGGTCAGGGCCAGGGATGCTCTGCAGTGGTCCCCGGGGGTGGAGGAGGGGTGGGGACTCAGGGAGGTAGGGGCCTTGCAGTCTCTAGGTCCAAACCTGCTCAGAGAGGTCACCTGCTGAACTTCATTCTTTAGCTCAACTTGGCAGGGACTTTGGACTCTTATAAAGGCACACACGTGGAAAGCTTAATGTTGAACGGTGACTTGTTATTTATCCCACAGTGGGAAGGCCTTATCACATGGGGGAGAGGGAGGAGGCTTGCCACGCTCAGGGGGAAGGTCTCAGACAGCAGGCTGGATGCTCCCAGAGGGCTGTGCTTGCTTCTCTGGGGCTTCACCTTGAGAGGCCGGTGAACATCACAGCTGCATAGGGAGTGCAGGGACAGGCGGAATGGCTCCCAGCTGGGGTTCAGATTGTTCTTCACCACCTTGGAGAAGCACCAGGTAGATGGTCACCTCCTGTCTAGGTTTCTCTACTCTGCCCTCCTTCCCTCCATCCCCATAGCCCCAGGCACCAACCTCAGTCCTCCAGACCAGCTGGTCACTCTGGTCGCCATTGGTCTTATAGATCTCCATGAAAGGGTCAGACTTGCTGAACAGATCCTGGGGATACAGGCAAAAGGGCCCCTGAGGCTGGTGAGGTCTGCAAGGAGGTTGGGAGAGGGGCTAACACTGAGAGGGGAGCAGGTCTGGGCCCCTGGGATTTGTCTTGAATGGGAGGCCCAGGGCTCTCCCAGTCCAGGGGCCTGGACTCTGGGGTTCCAACCTTGTTGTCCAGCTTGTGGGCTCTGAAGGTGAGTTGCACATAGTCATTGGTGCCAGATATCTCCTCAGCCACGACCTACAAGGGGGACACAAATGGCAGGACTCCCCTTCCTGCATCCCAAAAGCCACCCTATGCCCTTTCCTTAGGTGGTGGCAGTCCTGGGCATGATGTCACTGTGGATATCCATGCAGGGGCATTGAGTGCCTGGCCCAAGGGTGAGTACAGGTGACTTTGCCTACCGTGATGGTGGACTTGCCCGCAGTCTTCCCATTCTTCAGCAGTAATGGCTTAGTGACCTTGGTTTGTGACACAATCTGGGGATGGAGGTGGAGGGAGACTCAGTTGTGACAGCCCCACCTGCCTTGGCTAAGGTATGAGGGTGGAAGAATGGAACAATAAGTGTCCTCTGAGTGTCCATACGGCTGGCCCTTTGACTTAGATTAGAGTTGGATTCAGTTTCTACAGCAGCCTTATGAGGGAGGTACTATGGCCCCCCCCATTACATGGAAAAACTAAGACTCAGAGAGATTAAGTATCTTGCCCAAGACTGCACAGCCAGCAAATGGCAGAGATGGGATCCAAGCCCAGATTAAACTAGCTCCAGAGCTCATGCTCTCTCTTATTTTGGCTTCCAGAGGCAGTAGCTGTTGGGAGTGGGGTGGGGTGGGTGGAAGTGCAGACCTGGCCCAAGGTACACTCTGTAGAGCCGAGGAAGGTGTCATTGCGGGGGCTGGTGGCTCCATCCTCAGCATCAAACACGTGGAACTGTAGGGGCTGCTTTTCCTCAAAAAAGTATTCGAGGGCCAGCACCCGAGAGAAGACAGGGCTGGAACAGGAGCGAAGCACCTCCGTGCGCTCCACCTGCAGCAGGAGGGGCAAAGGCCCTCATGGATCCGAGGCTACTTCTCCCTGCCCTGGACTGCCCAGGTCATGTCAGCTCTCCCTGGGCTCCCGCGTCCCCAGCAGCTAGCCTCCTCTTCTAGGCTGATGCCTGAGCTCAAGGTGCTGGCAACCCACTGGACCCTTAGCCCTTGGGGCTATCATAAGGTTTTTGGGTGCTATCCCACTGCCTCTGGGGCAATCTCAGGGCGCTCTGGGACTGTGAGCTTTAGAAACTATAAAATGGTTTATGTTTGTCATGATGGCATGCCCATCTCCAAGGTTACCCACATGGCCCAGAAGAGGCCCCCAAGTCCTCACATTTCCCCGCGAAGCTCTCATTGCTCCCAACCAGCCTCCCTTCTCTAACGCTTACCCCAGGAGGTAGGTAAGGAAAAACCTGAGACACTCTCACCTCTACCCACTGCTCATCAGAGTACAGCTTCAGCAGCACGCAGGGGTGGGGCTTGGTGAGTGTGTCTCGGTCCAAGAGGCCGTGGCAGGACACCCGCAGCTCCACCCTTGAAGCCCCCAGCGTCATGGTTGGGGGCTCAGGCACCCATCCCATCTCAGAGTCTGACATGTTGCTGTGGGGACAGAGGAGATGGCCTGGACACTGGAAATGGAATACCTGCTAGGGGATGGGGCCTCTGGGGGCCTGGGGCTCACCCCTTGCCCTCCTCCCTGAGGCCCTGGGGTCTCATGGACCCCCTGCCTCCCCTGCCCTCCACTTGGCTTCCCTGGATCTCTGAGCAGAGAAGGGCACAGGACCTGAGCCTGCAACTTCTGAACAGGAGCCCTGTTCTTTTGGCATTCCTGCTGGCCTAGGGGTGTGTGGATGGGGCTGGGGAGGGCTGGAGAGTTAGCACAGGACCTGAGCCTGTAACTTCTGAACAGGAGCCCTTTTCTTTTGGCATTCCTGCTGGCCTAGGGGTGTGTGGATGGGGCTGGGGAGGGCTGGAGAGTTGAGGGGGGTGTTCCCGGCAGTCCTGGCTCCTAGGCCATCGATTGCTCCATGCTTTCTGCTGCTTCAGCACCTTCTGCTCTTTCCCAGCTACTGTTTGAGCCAGCACTGCACTCAGTCTTGGCACAGGAGAGCTGACTGGGGCAAGGGGGTGGGGCAGGGAGCAGCCCCTGTAGCTCTGAAGAGAACAGACCTCAGGAGTGGGGTCTGCATCGGGCGGGAGGAGACAGGTTGAAAGATGCCCTGCTGGGCTGTCCCTATCCACTCCTTACCCCCACTCACCTTCTGGCTGGCTGATGAAGGAGGAGGGGTGGTGGGCTTGGGGAGTTAGAGGCAGGACCAGGGATCTGCTAAAAGCTCCTCCAGGCTCCCGGCAGGGGCTCCCACTATGACAAGCCTCACATCCCTCCCCACCTCCCCTGTTCTCACACTTCTTGGCAGCACTGGCACTGTCTCTTAGCGACAGGATTTTTGGGGAGCCGCGGCCCCCTCCTTGCTGCCCGTGGGATGCACGCACGCCAGCCTCCCCAAGCAGTGGTACTAAGCCTCAGGCAGCAGCAGGCAGGGGTACACCAGCCTGCGTTCACGGCTGGTCACTCTGTCTATCTGTGTCAGTCCAGATCTCAGGGTGAGGCTGTCTGATCCCATGTTGTGCTTCCCCAAGTGAGTGTGCAGTGGTTTGTCTGAGTGCCGCACCTTCTGTGTATATCCCCCACCCTATCCCCCATTGTGTGTCCATCTCCAGGAGGGTGTGACAGTTCCTGTGCCTCCCTCAGAACTGGGACCCTTCCCTGGCTGGGTACCCACCTCCCCACAATGTGTGCCTTTCTGGATATGTGAGGGAGGGTCTGGGCTGGGGTGTCTCTGCCTTCTAGCCACAAGTCTCCCGGTTCTTGTGGCTCCCCTGAGATAGGCAGGGGTATGTGGTGGTAAGGGGATTGGGCAGGTCTGGGGACCTCTCTAGGTGCTGAAAGAGATGTCGTTATGGAGACTGGGCTGGCTGGGCTGGGCTGGGGCTGGGTTAGAGAGAAAGGGTGGGCTCACCTGGGCTCTCAGTCAGGGGGCTTCTCTCTCCGGCTCTCTGGCCCTGGCCCTGACTCCTTTGCTGCTCCAGCTGCTAGCACCGGCTCCGGCTCTGGCTCTGGATCTGGCTCCGGCTCCAGCTCTGCTGCTATTTATGGGGCCTGGATGCGGAGGGAAGGGGAGGGGGGCCGCAGCACCAGCTCCCCCCGCACAGACTGGTTGGGAGGGAGAAGAGGCGAGGGGCAGGGCCACTTCCTGGGAGGGAGCCACAGAACTGGGGGAAGAGGGTGAGCTGGGGGTGGCTCAGATGCAGGACCCCCACAGACACAGTGACACACATCTTCCCCTTCACACCACACCCACACCCAGAAGCACAGAGATGCACACATTGCAGTAGTATGTGTGCACACACGTTCACACAGAGAAACGATGGCGACACATGCACCCACGACTCACAAACTCACACATATCTTGACACGCACAGATGCCAGTACATAAACTCACTGTGACACCATGACAGTTACAGTCCCACTGATACACACTGGGAAACACACCCAGTCTCACAACACTTTCAACATTATTGCACTTGTTAAGGATATTCACAGTCACACATAAAAGAACACTGGGCTGTACTTGTCACACATACACATAAACTCACACCAGTCTGGAATACAACAGAATGTAGACCTTCACGTGCTCCTTAAAAATTGTCACGTATCACGCTGAACCTCTAGCTTTGAGAATAATGTCCAGTTTCCGATCCACCTTTTTATAAGGAGATACAAGAAGTGGATGTGATTGCTTGAGTACAGACACCCTCACATCCTGGTCACACAACCTCTGAAGACAGGACTGCACAATGGGGGCATGTGCTGAAGGACTGACTCCTGAGGCATCTTCCTGGTGCCATGATGTACCCAATACCCCAAGAGATTCAACCCATATGGCCACATCTTTGTGGGAGGGGCCACACCATGCACGGATCTTAAGGAAACAAGACGTTAGTCATTCCTGGTGGGACCAGGGGAAGTGAGCTATTGCCTGGGGAGCTGTAAGCTTCACATGTAGACATTTGGACACACGGTGATCTGGGATGAATATGCAAGAGCATTCACCATGACGCCTTCACCCTCCATCCCCTTAAGCTACTCATACTTAAGGTAGCAGCCATCTATTGAGCATCTCCTGGGGACTAGATACTATGCCAGGTGCTTAAGACACAGCCCCTGCCTCTTGGGGAGGTGGAGAGACACACAGGTAGCGAGATGGTAAGACAATACACAAATGTGATTAAGTGTGACAGGTGCAAATTTATGGAGCAGTCAGGATGCACTGGGGGCACAATAAGGGAGAGTTTAATTTGGATGAGTGGGGAAAGGTAGCAGGAAGGGCTTCATAGAGGAAGAGGCTTTTGAGCAGGGTCTTGAATGCCGAGGTAGTATTTGTTAGGACACCAATGGGAAACAATTAATTTGTTGTCATGCCATATAGACTTCTGTTCATATACAAGCCATTCTACTGCTGAGATTTTTGACTATCGAGGCTGCCCCCAGCATGACACAACACCATATAATTCCACCGTTAGTGACTGTGTGCACACGTGCGCAAACACACACACACACACACACACACACACACACACACACACTCTCTGGTACACTGGGGTCTTCCAATCCTATCACATCCTACAAAGCCAGACACACACCTGTGTTGGTTTTTGCCGTATCACTCCCTTCTCAGCCAGCTCAGCCCTGACTCTATGCATAACACCCACCCTGGCTTGAGGACTTCTCAGGCCCCTTCCATCTGTTCTTCCATCTCTGTTCTTCCCCTGTCTCCTCTCAGGGCCCCAGCCCCATCCCCGCGGGGTGTTCCTCACTATTCCCCTATGTGGCCAAGCTATGGGGGCTTGCGGGAAGGGAGCAGATGGCAGGGGCTGTGAGGGGAGAAGACAGCAGAGACTCGAGGCAGGCAGTGATTTTGTTGCTTTATTCTATACAAGTGGGGAGAGAGCCCCTGGGGATAGAGAGACAGAGATCCGCCCACCGGGGGAGGAGACAGCCCCCCCAAAGTTCTCTGCAGAGCGAGGCACAGAGGAAGGCATAGAGAGCCTCCCTCTCTCGAGGTTGCTCCCTCCCTTCCTGTCACCGCCTCTTGCTCCCCCTGTTTGGTCCTGCTGTCCTGCTCCTGTAGGACAGGCGCTGGCAGCAGGGCCTGGGGGAATGGGGTTGGGGGGTGTTCGATGGGGGTCTGAGTCCTTGTGAGGCACATGTCGAGAGGAGGGCAGGGGAGGTGTTACAGCAGCTGTCAGTCTGTTCCTGGCTCACTGGTTCCTGCTGGGGACAAATCCAGGGAGCCCTGTTTCTGGGCACAGAGAGCCAACCACCCAGTGCTGGGTTTTGGGGGGTACCATCTTGAACAGATGCGTGGGAAGGGGGACCCGCCCTCTCACCACCAGCACCTGTGGGGTCAGGGGGCCGTCTTCTATCAGGCTCCAGCTTGTCGCAGGACTGTGCCCGCCGTGTCCTCTTGGGTTTCAGTGGGGCAGTCCGGCGGCCCGGATCAGGGGGCCCTGAAATGACATTCAAGGCAAACCTGGCACATGAGCGGGGCTGACAGGCTGGGGAGCCATCCAAGCTGTGACTCCTGGTTGTTGCTTATTCCATGCCCCAGAAGGGGACCTGATGTGGGCAGGAAGGCCCTAGAGGTGCCCCAAGCCCCCCACTCAGCCAGGGTGGCAGACCTTGGGCCTCAGGCTCCTCTTTGTCTTGCTGTGAGCCCAGCCTCAGTCGGGGTTTGTTGACTCCTGGGGCTGCACCCCCGGCCTCAGCCTCCTCCCTGTCCCCTGGCTCCTGGGGAGGCCAGCGGCCCCTGGGCATGGCCACCGGCTTAGGGGGCCGTGGAGCTAAAGGGGGGTCCTGCAGCTGGCAGAGGAAGGAAGATGCTGGTTAGTCCCTTTGGCTCATCAGAGTGCCTTCCCCACCCAGCTTGCCAGCCCTCACCTTGGCATTCCTAGCTGGAACCATCCTCTCTGGGAACAGGGCCCCCTCTTTCTCCTCCTCTCCATCTTGGGAGGCTGGGCTGGGGCTCTGGGAGCTGTGATTGGTGGCACTCTCCTCAGCTGGGGGATGGGAGAAAGGAGAGCTGCAGGAAAAGGCATTCTCACACAGCCCTTCCCCTTCTCCCATGCAGCCCTGGCGGCCAGGGCTTTCCCCTCCGAGCCCATTTGTTCCAACACTTCTGCCTTTGTTGTCCCCTTCTACTCCCACATTTCCTTAGCCCTTGGCTCCCAGGATCACCTCTGGGGGAGCTCTGGCCTGGCTGTCTCTCTGTCAGAGCAGGGCCTGAACCCTTTCCACTGGGGCCAGGGCCTGCTGGATCCACAGGTCCATGTAGAGCTGTAGGACCCCAGGGCCCTGCCAAGGCTGCAGCCTAGCATTCCCAGAACACTGCTGCTCTGATTTAGATGGTGGGAGCCTCGAGGAGAGGAGCCCTGGCATGCTCCACCCTCCCCTCCCACCCCCGTGACTTTAAGCAACATGAGTCTGAGGGTATGACATCTGGAACATGTTGTCTATGTGTATATCTGTGAAGTGTGTGTGCAGTGAGTATCTGACTATTGCAGCTTCCTAAGTGAAGGATGGAGCCCTGCTTTGGATGCTTTAACAAGTCTGTGCATGGGATGGGAAAATTAGCAAAGATTTTTCCCAACCCAGTGCTGGGTTGGCCTTGGCAGGTGGGGCAGGGGCACAGGCACTGCCAAGTCTCAGGCCAGCTGGCTGTGCACTACTGAGGAGTGACGGGCAGCGACAGAATGGGGTGTGATGGGACAGTGGGGAGCATGCAACCCCAGACGGACAGGCCTGCTCATCTCTTAGCTTGTTCTAGCTTTTGTGCCCTAGCCTGAGGGTGGGAGTGGAGGAGGTTGAGAGGGTGTCTGCGTCTACAGAGAGATTTTGTCAATATTGCTGGAGGGTCATGTTCCAGGGCTTGGGGAACTTAAATTGATGCTGAACTGACCAGCTTTTCTTTAGTGGCTTCCTGAGCAGAAGGTGCTCTGAACCCAGTAGAAGGGAGGTGTCATTCTTGAACCCCCCCCCCCCCTTTTATTCCTCCAGCCATGAAGGCAGAAAGAAATTGACTTGTTTAAGGTCATGGGTGGCTGGGCAGGATAAACACCCAAGGTTTCTGACCTCAAAGGTAGAGCTCTTGCCTCTTCTTTTGGACCCCTTTTTGAGGTAACTGAGGATGGGTGGAGGAGCTATTTTTGGAGGAGATTGGAATGTTCAAGGTGGGCCTGGCATCCCTGGCACTTGCTGGAGGTTTGTCTTGCCCTCTCTTCCCAGCTAAGGTGCAGAGAGAGGCCTTCTGTACAGAGGGCATCACTGTGCTGGTGGTGGCCAGAGGTGGCACCCCCCCAGAGAATTCATGGTGACCATCTGCAAGGCATTATTCCTGTTAACCCTGGCACAGCCACTTGTGTTCTGTAGAACCTTTCTTTGGATCAGTTGTTTGTCTCTTTTGGATGCCGCTTTGGAAATATCCTTAAACATTTTCACTGTGTTGACTTCTCACTGCCCTACCTTGGTTGTAAATTCCCCAATGCAGGGACCATGGTTTCTGTTTCTTTGGACACACACTGGGCCTTCAGTGCTGCCCGAGAAGAGGCTTTCCATACCTATGTGCCACGTGGCCTCTGCTCGGCGAATGGCACTGAAGCTTGGCTTGCTGCTTTGGGGTGGTGGTGGGGGCTTCCAGGCCCCAGGCCCTGGAGTAGAGGGAGGGGATGGGGAAGGGGAAAGGCAAGTTAGGAGGGCTCCCTGAGAGAGGGGTGAAAGGAATGGAGTGAGGGTGACCATTCTCACCTGCATCATCTGAAGAACGCCGTTTCTGCCAAGAGTGGGTGCTGCCCTCCAGGTCTGGGCCTGTGCCCTGAAAGGACAGCGGAGTCAGGTCATAAGAAAAGTCCCCTCCATTGGGAGGGGGCTACAGCTCACAAGTCCTTCTGCTCTAGCATCTTATGTCATTCTTATGTCATTAGTCCCTAGACACTCAAGACTGTGTTTCCCAAAGAGTGGCACCTATACTGCTCTAGAGCACAGGAAGCGATTTACACAAATGGGCATACTGTTATCTTAACAGTTACATCCTGGGCCGGCCCGTGGCTCACTCGGGAGAGTGTGGTGCTGATAACACCAAGGCCCCGGGTTCGGATCCCATATAGGGATGGCCGGTTCACTCACTGGGTGAGCGTGGTGCTGACAACACCAAGTCAAGGGTTAAGATCCCCTTACCGGTCATCTTTTAGAAAAAAAAAAAAAAAAACAGTTACATGCTTATTTTATGTACAGTAGAAAAAAATATGACTAGTAGAAAGAGCCCATGATTTTAAAGATGACAATGCTTAGGTCCAGACTAAGTTAAAAAACGTGAACTGATTTAAATAAAAATATTATGTAAATGAGAATTCAGGTGGCACATGGTGGCACATCACAAAGGTTGTAATCAAGTCATCAAAGTTTGGGAACCGGAGCTCTAGAAGTAAGTATTTTTATGATCTCTGTTTTACAAGGAAGTAGAGGCTCCAAGAAGTGAAGCTGCTAGTCCAGGATTCCACAGCAAGGGGTTGCTATGGGCAGAACTGCAGCTAATGCCTTCAAATCCAAAGCATCTGCTTTCTCCACTGAACATCCAGGGATGGGTGAGCAGAAGGGACCCTCAGGACCCTCGGTTTGCCGCCCCAGGCTTCCCTCACCTCTCGTTTCCCATCGAAGCTCCAACCCTTGGCTCTTCCCAACCCAGGAAGAGCTACAGCGTGTACCCTTGGTTGCTGTGCTGTCCCAGGGGCCGGGCTCCCCTCCCCTGGCTCCGACTCCTCTGTGCCCTGGAACAATGTTTCCTGTTTACAAGCAGTTGCTGATGGAGAAAGGGCTCCACGGGCAGCAGGGTAGTGGTGGGGAGGGTCCTGTCCCACTGAGCCTGCAGCCCCTGGGAAGCCCTGCCCAGACCCTCCCAGGAGTCCTTCCAATGGCCTCATTTGCATCAGCACTCCCAGCATGCTCTGGGCCACCAGGGCTTAGTCCACTCTCAGGGAGAAGGGGAACTGGGATGACCAACATTTCCCAGAACCCCAGAACAACATTCTCCCAGTGAGCTTAGTGTGGGGTGGGGGAGCAGGCTGTGTATGGGTCAGGAGAAGGGGTGGACGCTGCCCTCTGCCTGACTTACCATTTTCCTGCGGAAGGAAGGCCCCCGGCTGCCCCCAAATCCAGGGAGAAGGCCGTTCTCCTCCTCTGGGCTCCAGCAGGGAGAGGAGTTATTGCCGAGGCTTGGGGGGTCTGGGCTGGGGGGGCTCTCCTGAGTTGGGGCGGCGCCTCTTCTTCTGGAGTGGAGGCAGTGGCGGCTCCGAGAGGCCTGGCCGCATGGTCCTCAGAGTCCGGGGATAGCTGGGCAGAGTCGGGATGAGTTAGTTACAAAAGCCAGATGCAGAGCCCAGAGTGGTGCTGGTGTCAGTCCAATCCTGGGTCTAATAAACCTCCTGCTTTCCTCTCTCAATCTAGTCTCTCCTGTTACAATGTAATCCTTTCTTCCACTTAGTTCTCAGAGGAGATGGTGTCCCTGCCTTCCCTGTCATAATCCTCCAGCAGCTTCTCTTCCCCAAGTTGACTCTTTCCTCCCAGGCACCCCCCATCGCCTTCTCTCAGCTTCTCCAAGTGGCCCAGCTCGTCCTTGACAGGCCCTGGGGAGTCTGTGCAGGACACTGACAGGGGGCACTTCCCTCCAGGCCTCTTATCACTCCAGGCATCCCATCCCAGGCTTCTCACCCCCAGCCTGCCTTCCCCATCACACTGTGGTAGCTCACTCTGGCCCCATCCTTTGCAGCTGTCCTAAGGAGGTCAGAGACCATGACAGCCAAGGGCTGGACAGGGAAGGATGAGAATATGGGGAAACGCCCCGAGAGACTGGCTGGAGGGCACTGCCATTGGAGGGACTTCGTGGGAGCTGGGAGGACACAGGAGTCCTCCCAGGGCCTTGGGGCCTGCTGAAAATGGGAGTGTTTAGCCTCACACCTGGAACTTTCATCCATGACCCTGCGGCTGAAGAAATCCTCCAGGCCCTCGTCCAGGCGGGTGGCCATCCCATTCTCCTGACGAGTCCCAGGTGCTGGTACCTGCTGGGAGGAAAGTCCATGGGTTATCTCATCTGGGTCAGGAAGTCTTGCCTCCCATACAGTCAGGGCCTTCCCCTTTGGACTTGGCCCCAGTGGAAATTTAGACTTTAGTTCACCTGGGCATTTCCTAAGCTTAGTGGCACTCGGCTCTTTCACTAAAATAAGAATGCCATTGCCTAGCAGTCAGAGATTTCTTATCTGCAGCAAGATCTAGCTCTCATCCAAACTGGATAATTCCTCATCTGTTCAGTGGCTTCCTGGGCTCCTGCCCCATCCCTCAAGGCTGGCGTTTGGGTCCTAAAGCTAGAACCCCTGGCTCTGGCATTGATAAGTGAATTTGGTCCTCTTGCGAGGCATTAGGGACTCACGCTGGGCCGACCAGGTCCTGGAGGGGTGGTGCGGGGGGGCCGGGGCCTGCCTTGTGTTTGGTGCCTTAGTTTATAGCCATGAGTGGGCAGTTCGGATAGACCTTCCCAGGAACCACTAGCTGTCGGCTGGTTGCCCCCGAGTCCTGAGAACCAGCCTGGGGGGATCCCCAGGTTCCCCAGTTGGCTTTCCATGTCCTGAGGGCTCCCACCTGTGGGGACAGCAGTATTAGAGTGACTGGTAGGAGTGACAGGGAGAAAGGAGGATGGAGAGACAGAGAAAACAGAAAGGGAAAGAGGGCCTGGAAAGGTGCAGGGGCCTGGGGGATATTAGAACAGAGGCTCGAGGACTCACTGATGAAGGCAGATACCGGGCGGATCTTGCGGCAACGTTTCTGCTTTTTGATAGCCATGGTGTCCTGCAGAAAAGGAGACAAATGGTGGGCAGGTGGCAAGTCACCAAAACCTCACCTGGAGCTTCCCATTCCTCGTAAAGCCTCCTCTTTAGAGCCCATCTTGCCTCCCTCTCTTCAGGTGGCTGAGGCACTGGGACAAGGGAAGAGGCTGGGCTGGGTTGGGGCTGAGGGGAGACCAGGTGAAGTCAGGTGGAGAGTGGAGTCCAGAGAAGTGGACAGGGTTATTGTTGTGCAGGTTCAAGGACATGGTCCAGGCTAAGGAGGGGAGCGGGAGGTGTGGGAGGCTCACAATGTTGGTCCCAAGTTCATCATCTGTGGTCTCCTCATGGTCATGGTTCCGGCCTCGGCCCCGGGAGGACAGATCTTGCCCTTGGCCTTGTCCCCCTGGTGGATCCGACAGTGTTCTTAGCTGGGTCAGGTGTCGTGCCTGGGGAAGGACAGGTGTGAATGGGATCCCGAAGAAGCTGCCCACCTCCCAGGGTCTTGAGGGGAAGGAGTGGTTAGGGAGATGGGATGCTGTGGGGTGGACCACGCTTGAGCCTGGCCAGGGTTCAGAAGCCTTACCAGGCTCTTGTGGGAGTGATAGAGCTCTTGCAGAATCTCGTCCACTATGGAGTTGGTCAAGTAGGTGACAACTGAGAGCTTCACTTCACTGTGGGCATAGTGGGGCTGCTCAGCCACCCCCCACCCAGCCCCTGACCCTCAGCCTCTCCCCCAGATGCCTGAGAGAATGGGCCAGCTGGCTCAGCTGCCCATGGAGAACGTGGCTGCTGCAGGAGGCAACTTAGGTCCACCACGCTCATGTCTCCATAGACACATACTCAGACCCACCCACTGATCCCCTCAGCCCAGGTGTGTGTGGGCACAGAGGAACTGAAAGAGAAAGAGGAACAAGAGGCTCCAGGTCAGGTCCCTGGAGCCCCAGCGGAACACACCTAGGTAAACTGGGGTGCTGAGTACACCCTGCTGGCAGCTACATTAAGAGCAGAACTGCACTTGCTGAGCCTGGCTGTTTAACAGGTATGTGAACTAATTTTCCTTTGCTTTGGTGAGTGGTGGCACACAGACCAGAATAAATGAGTCCAGGAGCAATGAGAAGTGGGAGGAGAAGAGAGCGGTCCAGCCCTGGCTCCCACCGCTTCTCTTTGCCCATGCCTCCGGGGAGCCTGTGCTGTGTCTTCAGGAAGCACTTCCTGCTGCACATGTGTGGATATGTGTGTGTCCAACTGTGTGTTTACCACCCTGGTTCCTCCATCCCAGCTCAGCATTTAGATTTCTAGTGCAAAGACCAGCAAGACTCTTAAAAAGCAAGGCTGCCATTTGGTTAAAGATTTATCCCTCATAATAGAGATTGTGCTATTTATTATTCATTGCCGATAGCTCTTGGGCCCCAAGTCCCTGAGTGCTCTGGGCCAAATCCAGCCCCGCCCTCCGCCTCTCACTCCAGTTTGTTCTGAATGTCCTGTCCCGCCTGCTCCAGCAGCGCCCCTCGGATGAAGTTCCGGGGTACAGTGACACGCTCCGCCACATTGCTCAGCATCTTGTTGTGCCCCTCAGCTACCCGCATGGCCACAGGGCACAACTCCTGTGTTAGGCTGACCATGGACTCCAAGATCACCTAGTGGGGGGGAAGGGAGGCCAGAGCCCCAAGGGCAGCAGAGTCAGGGCTGGCATCACAGTGGAAGAGATTAGCCTATCTATTCCAGTCCCCCATGGTGAGACTGAGGGACTCGCCTAAGGTCACAGAGCCTTGGACACTCAGGTTTCCCCACTTCCTGGTCAGTGCTCCTTCTACCCTACCATACAGAGAGGGGGAGGGTCAGTTCAAGGAAAAGAATCCAGAGGGGGGAGGTCAGGGTTCAGAGGCCAAGGCCAAAGCTGCAGAAAAAAACCCGAGCCAGACATTGTAGCCAGGCCTTGGTACAGCGGGAATGTGGGGTGGTCTCAACTCTGTGCATTGCCTTTTTGCCCTCCAATAATCTCCCCGCTCTGACTTTAGCTCTTGGCTTAGGGCCTTGGTCAACACAGAGTTCCCATCATGGCCTCCTTCCTCCTCCAGGACTTGCCTGAAGCTCCTTGTCCACAGCCTTGGAGACCTCACTGGCTACTGACTCCAGCCTCTGCCGCACAGGCCCATCATTGGCCAGCACGTGGCCCAGCTCATAGAGGCTGGGAAACAGCTGGGGAAGGAAGGGATTATGATCAGAAGGCCAGCATCAGGCCTTATGAGGTCCCTGGGGCCCTGGACAAGGAGGGTGGATGCATGGGGCAGGGCCTGGACACTCCTGGGTTAGCATGGTTGGCCTTCTTGGGTTTTCCAGACTGTCAGGGAAGGGTGGGGCTGCGAAGGCTCACCGCCCGAGAGTTCTTGGCATCCTTGATGAGGTCCCGAGCATAGAGCAGCTCATCCTGCACGGGCTCCAGGGGGCACAGTCTCAGTGCCCGCACCTCTTCCTGCACTCGTCCACATAGCCGCTGCAGCATCTGGAGCACAGTGGCAGGAGTGTCAGGGCAGGAGTGTCAGCAGTGCCCCTTGGGCAGTACTGGTGCTGGCAGACAGTTGTGGGGGTGATGTCTCTGGATGACCTGTTCTCTCTCCTTGGTTTTCTCTTCTTGAAAGCCCAGTGGAGCTCCCAGAGTCCTGTGCACCCCTTGTCTGGCCCTTGTCTGGGAGCCACCTGCTGTTTGTGCACATCTGTTTGGGGCCCATATTCTGAATGTCCTGCCTTTTTGCTCCCCCACACACTCGGTCCAGTTATGGGCACCATGCGATGCCTCTTCATGCCCCCCATGCACTCTATCACACCACATCTGTGCCCTGCATGCCCCACATGTGCCCCATGGGTCTCTGAGGGAAATGTTTACTTGCTCGGCGCTGCTGGTCACCAGGCCCTGCTGCAGCCTGAAGGCCTGCTCCTGGGGGCATGTCTGGGAGTGGTTGTTCCTGACCAAGCACCATTGGATCTGGAGATGGTGGGTGGATGGGGTCAAGGCCTGGGTATGAGGGATGTACCCCCCCACCCCCACCCCCTTGGTATCCCACTCCACTTAGGACAGCACCCTCCACCTTCTGCCAGACATCCTCTGTGCGCTCGGGGGCACTGCGGTAGGCTTGGGAGATGTCGCTCACGGGGAAGGACATGAAGCGCAGTGTGTGGTTGCTGTGGGATATAGTAGCACAGGTGGTGGGGGAACAGTGAGGAGGGGAGGCCCTTGCTCCCCAGAACCCACTCCACCCCTTGCTTATCATTTCCCTCTTACATGGTCCTCCTGGAAGGATCTGCATTTCTGTGCAAATTGTTCAAGGGGGCTGGGTTGGGGCTGGGGTAGTTCAGGCCCAGTCCAGACACCAGGAGTCTGGGGGCTTGTATCAGGGCAGGGCCCTGGTTCACTCACCTCTCCAGGGCCCTTGCAATGTCCAGGAAGCCCAGGGCAGATGTATTATTCCGATCCCATAGGATAGTTCTGGAGGAAAGAACAATGTGACCAGTTCGTCATCCCTCCCTCTGGGTCCCTTTTAGGGGCTAGGGACACAACCCTCTCTGGAGCCCTCCCTTCTTTCCTGGGTAATGAGGCTGACTCAGAGATGTTTCTGGGGCTGGGAGTCTTCTGGAAGCCAGGGTATGGAGCATCAAGGCAAGCAGGGAGAATGTGTTTGTATGTGGGAGAGGGCTGGGGCTCCAGTCAGAGCATCCAGGTGTGGGCCCACCTGAGGGAGGAGTTTATCTGCAGGGCCTTAGACAGCATCTTGGCTCCGATGTCCTCCATGCCATTGCCACTCAGATCCACCTTGGCCAGGCAGGTGTTGCTGCCCAGGGCATTGATGAGGATGCTGGTGCGAAGCTTTAGCCGGGAGTCTGCCACTGACAGCGACTGCAGGGACTGTGTGGGCACGTGGGGGGTTGGGCGTGGCCCTGCAGGCCACTTCCACTGTAGGTTCCCTCCCAGGCCCAGTCACTCACACAGTCCTCTTCCTGGATCAGTTGCACCAGCTTGTGGAGGATCTCCTCCAGGGTCCTGTGGGGAGTTGGGGCTCAGAGTAGAAGGGGAGAGGGCTGGGGTCATGCCATTGGAGGAAAAAAGAGGTGGCGAGAGGTAGTACACTGAGCCAAGAGGATGGGTGGATGATGGGATGAGGGTCTGTGGGTATGGGGAGGGGCCTCACTTGGCCTTGACATTGAAGTTCTTGCCCAGGAACAGGTGCTTGAGGGACTTGTTCTTGCCAAGTGCAGGCACCAGTGTCAGAAGGTCCGAGTCGAACCCTGGTCAGTAGATGGGAGAGGCCTGGCCTTGGCCTGAGGCTTACTGGTGTCTCCTCAAGGCTTCTTCCCCATGCCCCACACCCCTCTTCCCACCTGGCCCCCAGGAAAGGGAGGCACCTCTACTCACCATTGTCCGACAGATCCAGGCTGCCCACACAGGTGACAGCCCCCAGCTGCTCCTGCAAGGCCTGGGCTCCCGCTGAGCGGAGCTGCAGGGACAAGGTGTGGCGGGGAAGGTAGGGGTTGGGGTAGGAGCTGGGATACCTTTAAGACCAGAGTAGTCATGCCAGGACTCAAGGTCATACTAGGTCTTGGGTGTAAAATCAGGGAGCCCCTTCCTCCACACCAGATCCTTTCCTAGGGCTCTCTCCCCTCCCCTCAGCCAGAAAGGCTGCTACTCCTAAGACAGCATGTTCCTGCCCTCTAGTGGGAAAGCCTGGTATTTCCCACCCCAAAGCTTTAAGGGCAGAGATAATGCAGATTGGAAATCAATGGTCACAGACCATGGACGGAGAGGGGAAAGTAAGGTGTGGTTAGGTCAGGGAGTTGCAGAGGGGTAGCGCAGAGGTGAGATGGAGTCAGGGTTTGACTTAGGTCAGAGAGATGAACGCTGGGGTGATGGATGGGGGACAGGCAGTGGGGATGGGTCCTGAGGGCTCACCTCACAGCTGCTGAGGTCCAGGTGCAGATCACTGAGGTGACTGTTGAGGGAGAGGCCCTGAAGCAGTGCCCTGTGGAAGAAGAGCAGTAGACCACCTTTATCCCTCCCCTGCTCCTCCGTGGTTCCCTTGGATGCCCCCTGCAACCCTGCACCCACCAGACCTGAGGGCCTCCAGGGGCAGCCTTGTGGCTGACAGGTTGACATGGCTCAGGGTGTAGGCGCTGCTGAAGAATTGCTTGAAGGCCGGTGGGGCTTCCCGGCCCTTCCTGTGGAAACCCCTGGGGTCAGCAAGGGAGCCACAGCTTGCCCTGTGCCTCCCTGCACCCCCTCCTGCTCCCACCTGTGGGAGCAGCTGTTGCGAGCCAGGTTGAGGTAGGTAAGGTGGGAGCAGCAGCCATGGAGCAGGGCACCCAGAAGCTGTGGGGAGAGATGTGGGTCTCAGAAGGCAAGGACTCCCCCCTCCTCCCAGTCAAGGCCCTGGCTCTTCACTCTCTGTGTGGGCCTCGCTGGGGATGCCCACTCAGCTTCCTAAGGCCTCAGTATTCCCCTCTGTGAAAAGCAGCTGTACTCCCTGCCTGCTTCCGCTGGCTCCTAAGGTGCCTTTGTTCATGTTAAGGAAAGCATCCTTTCCCCCTGGTGGATGCAGCCCTGTGCCAGGGGACATAGCTGGGGGATGGAGCGAGGGCTGGCATTTATTTAGGCATAACCAGCACAACCTTGTGACCTGGATAAGGTGCCACACAGGTATGAGCTATGCACCTTGCTCTATAGTTCAGCTGAGCTGGAAGTCATCCTGGCATCCTCTGCACTCAGGGAAGGAGTGAGACCAAGACCCTCCCTGGCCTTCCCAAATCACCTCAGACTGGCTCCCCATCACCAACTGCTCACCAAGTCGATGGCACAGTCAGTCCCCAACAGGTCCAGGTGTACCAGGGCATTGGGCTGGGCCAGGAAACTATAGAAGGCCTGGAGAAGGAAGGACAGAGGGCTACAGGAGAAGGGGCAACAGAGTAACTCCACCCCCAGGGGCCAGGGGGCAGAAGACTCCCAGGCCCTGAAGCCTGAGTATGCTTCTGCAGGGGATTTTGGCTACATTTTGTGGACTCACGTTGGCCTCGTCCGTGGCGAGCAGCCCAGGGTTTTTGCTCAGGTCCAGGTATCGAAGGGAGCTGGCAAAGGCCGGGTTGGCCCCGAAGGTCTGGCCCAGTGCTTGCAGCCCTGAGCACAGCGGGCACCGGGCTGAGTTGGCCCCTAACCCCACTTCAGTACACAACTCTTCCCCACTCCCCAAATGTGGCTCCTTTTCCTTCCTTGTTCCCTGGGATGGTGTGCACTGGGGGCAGCACTGGGGGAGAATCAGAGGTCAGGTGTCCCAGTGCGAGTACCTCGAGGGGAAATGGCAGTCTTGGCCAAGCACAGTTTGGTGAGACCAGTGGGGAAGCAGAGGAGCTGCTGGCTCAGACTGAGGAAACCTGGGGAGTGGAGAGAGAAATGGGCCCAGTGAGAAGCTGGGTAGCAGGCACAGGTGGTGCAGAGTTAAACGGGCTCAAGAGGGGTGCAGGCCGTGGTCAAGGATGGAGGCATGGGAGCACATGCTGGAATCAGGCTGGAGAACCCCTGTTCAGACCTGGGCTCTGGGCTAGGACAGGGGTCTGCATTATGGTGCGGATAGGATTCAGAGCTGGGGCTCACCCTTGTCCTCGATGGGGTTGTGGGACAGAGTGAGGGCATGCAGCACACAGCTCCCGTTCTCCCCAAACACCCCGGCCAGCTTCTGTACAAAGTCCCTTCAGGGAAGGGGAGGAAGGATTTGTCCTGAGCTGAGCCCCAGGTTGCAGGCCCTGGGCTTCCCCTCCTCCTCTACCTGCCTGCCTGGCTGGGGCTGCAATGGTCAGAGGCCCCCATGGTGGCAGGGTGGGGGGTGGAGGGGAGAAGCTCAGGGCCTGCCAGGGAGCTTATCACTATTCCGGAGTACCTGGGGGCATCCCACACCTTGGGCAGTTGTGTTGAGACTAAGCCCAGCTTTGGGTCCTGAAGACTGGAGAAGCCCACCCTGCTTGGCAGTTGATAGAAAAAGGGGACAGGGCATGGAGCACACTGGGGAAAGGCCATGGAGCTGGGGGTCAGGAATCTTATCCCAGCTTCACCGCTGACTTGCTTTGTGCCCTCTTTGGGACTCAGTCTCCTCTTCTGTCAAGGGAGGAGCTGGACAAGACAATCCAGAGGCCCATATCATGCTCTGAGGTAATGGGACCCTAAGACTACATCAAGGGGCATTACTGCCCAAGGGGGAGTCTGGCCTCACGTCTTAAGCCCGGCGTTGTCCAGCACCAGCTCTTCAAGGCTCCCTGACTTGCTCAAGGTATGTAGCACCTGTTCTAGCACTTCAGAGCCCTGATGACAGAGGGAGTCCTGTGATCAGGAGCCTAGGAAAGCACCAGTCTCCCCTGCCCCCCACCCCCTCCTCGTTCCTACCAGCCGCAGGTCTTTGCAGTAGAGTTTGGTGAACCACTGGTTGTATGCCAGGGCGGCCACCATTAGGGCCAAGTCTCTGTGGGGATGTGGAAGGGGGCAGGAGAGTGATGAGCTGGTGGTTGGGGCAGGAAAAAAGAGGTCAGGCTGAGGTGGTTGGGCTGGGGAAAACCTAGGTGGGCAGATGGCAGTGGGGGTGGGGTCAAGTTGGGGAGAAAGAGCTGGGGCTGTGGTTGAGACCAGAGAGAGATCCTGAGGAGGGCCAGGGTTGGATTAAGACTGGGAATCTGGGGGTTGAGTTTCTGTCCCATCTGCTTACCGGCTCTCCAAGTGGCTGAAATCCAAAAGATTGAACTCTCGGTTATCCTCAGCATGGTAGATGGTGTCCACATCCTTGGAGAGGTGGAACTGGCTCACACCTGCTTCCCCTCTTCCTCTGCCCCTCCCTCTGTGTCCCACCTGCCCCCTCCAGGTCCCTGCCCAACGCACCCATTGCACCTCCTCACGGCAGTGCAGCCCGTTGTAGTCACACAGGGCCGCGTAGGTCTCGGAGAAGCCACCTGTGGGGCAGGAGATGGGCTGGCTCCACAGGGGTATGGAGATGGGGAATAGGCTTAGGTTCATGGAATGGTCAAGGTCACTTTATGTGCCAGTGTCCTAGGTTCCTGCTACACCACGAACTTCCTGAGGTCTGGGAGCTGTAGAGTCCTCAGGGCAGGCCAACCCCATGCACAGAGTTCAACATGAGGTAGGGTGGCTTAGCTCCCACCTTCCTCATGTCTGCCCCTGCTCACCACAGACACTGTGAGTGGTAGATGTGGAAGTCTCAGAGTTGGGGGATGTGTCTCGGGGCCCTTCTGGGGTGTCTGCATTTCCACGCCGGATTAAACACCTGGAAGGTGAGCAAATCATTTGAGAGGGCTGGAAAGAGGCCTCTATTCTTCCCTATTCCAGCTTCTGGATTCCCCAGGAAAATGCAGGAGCAGAGACATGAGAGATCTTGTCTTCCTGTCCCAGAGCCCAGGCCCAGGGGAAGGAGGGAGGGAAGAAGTCTCCCTGTTGTCTAATCTCTTGAGACAAACCTCGTTTGCCACTCACCCAGGGCCAGGGCAGACCTTGGAGAGGGCAGAGCTCACATGTCGCGTCACCTGGTCCACGCTCTCAGCTGATGGCAGCCTCATGCTCACCATGCCACGCTCTGTCTCTACCAGGATCTGGGGGACAGGGAGTGGCAGGGCCTCAAATATCAACTCCTTCATCTGGCTGGCCTACTAGTAGGGCCCGAAACCTTGATGCTCACCTGGTTCTGACTGAGCGTGTTGAAGGCTCGGATCTCCAGAACATTGAAGGAGCTCTCCACCTGGGAGGGATGGGGATGCTCAGCTCCTGGTAAGGGACTGGGTTGCCATGCTCAGGAGGGAGCATGCCAGGTGACCTCCTGATGATCAGCCCAACTTACCTTTGCTGGGACTTTGAGGGGGAAGAGGTGTAGGCGCCAAGCAGTCAGGGCCTGCAGAGAGAGAGAGAATGTCATCCACTCATGGCAGCTGGCTGGGCTCTGGTGCTCCTGCCCTCCTTTATGCCCCTCAGCTCTGCTCTGGGAGTCCACCCTCTCTCTCATGCCTTACCCAAGGCTCCTGGACACCAACCTCATCCAACCCTCTCCTCCCCTCCAGGGCTTTGTCTCCTCAAGCCCTCCCCTCCTCTGTCTCCCCTGTCACCCAGGCTCCCCGCCCTTTACTGGCCATCCGCCCTTACCACCTCCTCCCTCCTCTCAAGACCAATGTCCTCACCAGCACTCGGTCATCAAACTTCTTGGGCTTTGTTTCCAACTTCACACGATGTTGTTGGAGCACAGCTCCTTGGTTCAGACACCTCCGGATGCTGTCTGCAGGTGAGTAAGGCCTGCTCAGAACTCCCTTTTCCCTAGCCCCCCTACCTCCCCAGGGCTTTCCAGACAGAGGCAAGGGCAGGGTCAGAAGGGAGGTGAGAGAAACAGAGAGAATCAAAGGACAGTTCTTTCCTTCTTGGGTAACTTTTCCTATTAGAGAGGGAATGGGGTGTGGAGAAAACTCTGGCTCCTGATGTCCCTGAGTAAGGGGACAGTTGCTGAGTGACACTGTCCGTGGGAGGGTGTGTCTTACACTTCTGAGGGTGTGAAGGATTTTTCCAACCCATGCACTACAACAGCCAGTGACACATACACAGTGAGTCAGCGTGTGGGGGTGTGGGGGTGTCCCTTGGATTATATTCTAGGTGGTCTGGATGTGTTTGCCTTTACTACGAGTGTGTGCATGTCTTTTGAAGATGCCAGGGAGCCTGAGCATGGCATTGGTGGGGACAGATAAGTGTGAATGAGTATGCTGGCTTGCAGCTGTGAAGGGGGCACAGAGCCAGACAGTTCCTGGGTGTATGTGTGGTGGTGGAGGTGGGGAGTGGAAAGGAGTTTGTGTTTAAATGAGCCCCATACCCATTTACTGGCAGAACCATCCAGATATCCCATAGTGTGTGTGTGCATGTGTGTGGTGGGGGTGCAGTTTCTGTAAAGATGTGTGTACACATATCTCATGAGTGTGCTTGTGTGCGTGTGTAGGTGTGGGAAATCGCCACAGTGCAGCATGCCTCTGAATATCCTTGAGCATCCTGCTCTGTGCGTGGGCTAGCCTGTACTCCCACCTCTGGAGGTCAGGAATGTGGCAGTACTGGGGGACCAGGCCTTGGTTTGGGCTGGGTCTGAGAACCGTAATAGGAGAGGTTTTGAGGTGTGGGTGGTGGGTAGTGAGAAGGGGTAGGCTGGGACGAGGGCTTTGGGGACCTTGCTCCTGATTTTAGCTCCTGATCTTCCCTGACCCCTTTTTGCCCCACTGGCCTGGGCGCTGCCTGGCTCCTAGGGGGCTCTCCAGGGCCAGTTCCGGGGCGGGGCCGGGAGGAGGGAGGTGTTAAGGCAACCATCGGTCAGGACCACGGGCAGCTCCCATCGCCGGCGGGGCGGACCTGGCCCCGCCCGGCCGGGAAGCGGGGACTCTCCGGAGGGGAGACAGGACGCTTCGCCGAGGGGTGGGCCAGAAACGCTGAGAGTCAGTCCCAGAGAGCGCAAGGGAACTGCACCTGTCACCACAGAGCGGGACGGGCAGCTCCGGGACAGAATGGTCCTGACAGGGTGAGGCGAGGCTGGCAGCGGAGGATGCTCCGGGTTCAGCAGTGCCCGAGCTGGGATGCAGGGGCTACTTTGGGGCAGGGATTCATGGAGCGGGAGGGCGGAGGCACCGGGCTGGGTCGTACCGCGGGGAGGAACGCACTGGGTCTGGGATGCTCCCGGACGGGGCGTCCCGGAGACCAAGGCAGCATCGTACCTTGCATCTCGCGGGTGAGCTCCACGCTGGCCTTAGCCATGGCGGCTGCTGCTGCTGCTGCAGAGGAGCCGCCGCCGCCGCCGCCGGTGCGCCGCGGCACATGCTAGACCCGGCTCCGGCAAGGCCCGGGCGCCGAGCGCTGCAGCAGCGGCCGAGCCCGCTCCAGTTAGGGGCGGCTGCGCGAGCGCTCCTCCCCCAGCCTCGGAGCGCCGGGTCTCCGCCCCGCCCGGAGAGGTGCCGGACCGATCATGCCTGCTGTACCGCACATCCGCCT